CTTTCATGCCATCCATTGTATACAAGTGTGGCTAGCTGTAAATGGTCACAGCAATCATATGCACAAGCTGGGCCAATCACAGCCCAGCTGTGTCATGTGATTAGCTGTGGCCAAATCACAGTTAAGCACCAAAAAAAACCCTGAATAAATCGATTTCATTCAGGTAAATGCTTGCTTATAGCAAAGTAATTCTATGCTATAAGCAAATTGTGTAAAAAAAAAAAAAATACTGATCAATTCCAAAGTAGTAAAATGTTACTGGATAAAGTGCGTACGCGCGAAACATGTTGTCCAGGCAACCAGCCTCTTCCTTCTAAAGCTGCGGCTCCAGCAAGAGTTCCTCCCCTCCGTCTCTCTCCACATCGTGGTGACGTCATCCGGGACGCTGGGACGTCGGATACACGGTCCCTGCACTGACAGGAATTATACTCCACTACTTCCCTCTGAGCGGACGGGCGGTCCATCTTGGAACCTGGCTTCTTAAAGCCACAGGCTGGTTATCTATTTTTTACCATTTGAATTATTAAAGGCACACCTCCATATAAGGTGTATTACTTTTATCACAAAACTACACAGCGCCTGGCTCTTGTTCATACTATGGTAACATTATACTACTTTGATCATAGTGAAATATGAGAAAAAAAATCTTAAAAAAAGAGAAAAAAAAGTAATAAAAAATAATAAAAAAAAATTATCAATTTTTTTTTTTCGTACTGTCACCAGTCAGTGTCCCTGATCACCACCATGCCAGTTATATGATAACGCTGTAATGCACTGGTGACAGTATGTAAAAAAAAAATTGTGAAAATCATTTTTTTTTATTTCTTCATTTTCGAAAAATTATGACAAAAAAATTACAACTTCAAAAAACTCGCCATGCCTGTTATGAAATATGTCGGACTGTCTACTTTGCAAAAAGGGGTCATTTGGGGGATATCTGTACTGTTCTGACATTCTTGGACCTCAAGAAATTAGATTGGCTGTCAGTACTTCAGGATTGACCAATATTCACATATATACTTTAGTTTGTAAACTCTATAACTTACCTACAGAATAAATAATACATCCTAATTTGGGTTATTTTCACCAAAGACATGTAGTAGCCTACATGTCTTGCCCATCTTGGCCTAAATTTATGAAGAACAATTATTTATTTGCAAACTTTTATAACAGAAACAAAGAAAGACGTGGGTTTTATTTTCAAAATTTTTGGTCTATTTTTGTTAATTTAGTAATTTAGTGATTAAATACCACCAAAAGAAAGCTCTAGTTGTGTGAAGAAAATTATAAAATTTTAGTTTGGGTATAATGTTGTATGACCGCACAATTGTCATTCAAAGTGTGAGAGCGCTGAAACCTGAAAAATGGCCTGGGCAGGAAGGGAGTAAAAGTGCCCTGTATGGAAGTGGTTAATAATGACATGGGTTTATAACTAGCGCATTGTGAACTATCCATCCCCTCTTTAAGAATAATTGTTATATACGCTTGCAGCAATTCTTCTCTTATTCCCATTCCCTCTCCTAAAGCATTCATGCATGTACAGAGTTTAGGGACCAATAATTCTTTGAATTCCTTATAGTAACCCACCGTGTACCCATCTGGTCCTGGGATTTTTCTTCCTAGTATATTCTTCAGGGCCATCCTGATTTCATCTTGGGAGATCGCTAACTTTTCCTGCTGCCTTTAAAGATTCCTGCTGCTTTCCTGGCCTACTGCCTTTAAATATTCCTGCATTTTCCCTCTCTTTTCTTCCTCTGTTACTTTGTGATTCTTAGAATTCACATCATACAGCCTACTATAATATTTTTTTGGAACGTTTTGGCGATAACAGTGGTGGAGTACACCAGTTCCCTGTTTTCATCTTTAGTTTTTTCTATATAATTCTTTGATTTCTTTTCCTTCAGTCTTCTCATCAGGTATTTTCCTGGCTCATTCCCCCACTGATATCTTTCCTTTGAAACCCTATTGAAGGTCTTCCTCGTTTCCTGTTCCAGCAGATCTTTTAATTCTTCTATTTTGAGTGTAATCTTCTGATGTGTCTCTTTATCCTGTTTCTCTCACAATCTTTATTTTTTTTGGTCCCTGCGCTATTAGAATTCACCTTATATAAGTTTTATGCTCCTCCCAGATAGTAGCCACAGAGACTTCTTCGGTTTTATTTAGAAGAAATAATTGCTCTATTTCCTCCCTTAACCTGTTCTCGATGTCAGAATCTTATATAAGCGTCTCATTTAATCTCCACATAGCCCTCTTGTTCCATTCATCTCCTACTTGTAGTCTTGCCATGACGGGAGCATGATTTGAGATAGACATAACTTCTATATTAGATTTTTTATTATTATTATTATTTCAGGATTTATATAGCGCCAACAGTTTGCTCAGTGCTTTACAATATAACGGGAGACGATACAGCAACAATACAGTTCAATACAAGAGGGTTAGGAGGACCCTGCTCCTTGGAGCTTACAATCAAAGAGGGAGGGACTAGTGGTACAAAAGGTAGAAACTGTGGGGGATAGACTGGTTGGAGGAGTAGAAGATTCCATTATTAGCAGAGGGCAGGATAGGCTTCCCTGAAGAGATAAGTTTTCAGAGATCGCCTAAAAGTGAGCAGAGTAGGTGATAGTCTGATAAATTGTGGTAGAGAGTTGTAGAAGATGGGGGAAGCTCTGGAGAAGTCCTGGAGACGAGCATGGGAAGAGGAGACAAGGGAGCTAGAGAGCAGGAGGTCGTGCAAGGAATGGAGAGTACAGTTTGGGTGATATTTGGAGACACGATTGGTGATGTAATTTGGGGCAGAGTTATAAATGGCTTTATATGATATTGTTAATGTTTTGAATTTTATCCGTTGGGCAATGGGAAGCCAGTGGAGGGATTGGCAGAGAGGGGTGGCAGATACGGAATGGTTAGTAAGGTGGATGAGTCTGGCAGCAGCATTCATGATATACTGAAGAGGGGATAGTCTGTGATGAGGTAGGCCAATGAGGAGGGAGTTACAATAGTCAAGGCAAGAGATAACAAGGGAGTGAATAAGTTTCTTAGTAGTTTCCGAGGTTAAAAACGGCTGTATCTTGGAGATGTTGCGGAGGTGAAGTCTACATGATTTGGACAGCGATTGGATTTGGGGCTGAAAGGACAGATGAGAGTCTAGAATTACACCTAGTACCCGGGCATGAGGGGAGGGACTGATGGTTGTATTATTGGTCTTGAGGGAGAAGTCAAGGGAGGGGCACAGGCTAGAGGGAATACGAAGAGCTCAGTTTTGGAAAGATTGAGTTTGAGGAAGTGGAGTGACATCCATGCTGATAGGTCACTTAGTAGGTTAGTAATGCGAGAGGAGACTGAAGGGGTGAGGTGAGAAGATAGATTTCTGTGTCATCTGCATAGAGATGGTACTTAAAGCCATGGGAGTTTAGCAAGTGACCAAGGGAGGAGGTGTAGATGGAGAAGAAAAGGGGTCCAAGGACAGAACCTTGAGGGACCCCTATAGAAAGAGGGAGTGGAGAGAAGGAGCCAGAGTTATAGGTAATGCTGAAGGAGCGCTGTGATAGCTAGGAGGAAAACCAGGAGAGAGCAGAGTCTTGCAGGCCAAGAGAGTGGAGTTGTTTGAGGAGGAGGGGATGGTCAACAGTATCAAAAGCCACAGAGAGGTCAAGTGGTAAGAGTACAGAGTAGTGGCCATTGGTTTTAGCAGTTAGTAGATTATTAGTGAGTTTTAGTAGGGAAGTTTCAGTGGAGTGTAGTGAGTGAAAGCCAGACTGTAAAGGGTCAAGAAGGTTGTTGTCAGCGAGGTAGGAGCTCAGGCGATTGTAGACTAAGCGTTCTAAGAGTTTAGAGGTAAATGGCAGCAGGGAGATGAGTTTTAAGTTGTTCAGGTTGGTGGGGTCCAGGAAGGGCTTTTTAAGTATGGGAGTGATGTGTGCATGCTTTAGAGGGGTGTGGAAGACACCATTAGAGAGGGAGAGATTGAAGATGTGAGTGAGGGAGCATAGGATAGAAGAAGAGGGTGACCGTAGTAGTTGTGAAGGGAAAAGATCCAGGGGGCAGGTAGTGAGACGGGCTTCTGAGAAAACCTTAGTGACCTCTTCAGTAGCAGCAAGGTCAAAAGAGGAAAGTGTTGAGGGAAGTTTAGTATAAGGTATGCCAAGTGGGATGGATTGCGTCAATCTTGTTTTTGAAATGATTTGCAATCTCGTAAGTAGTGAGTGAGTTACTGGGTGGAGTTGAAGGTTGAGAAAGTAGAGAAGAGATGACAAGGACTGGATGACAAGCTATTGATGAGAGTGACAAAGTAGGCTTGTTTGGCAGCATGGAGGGAGGAATTGTATGTTAAGAAAGAAGATTTATTTAGGGTGAAAGCTTGGTGTGATTTGGTTTTACTCCACATTCGCTCCAGCGCATGACTACGGTATTTTTCGCCGTATAAGACGCACCTGACCATAAGACGCACCTAAGGTTTTAGAGGCAGAAAACAGGAAAAAAAAAAATTCTGAACTAAATGGACTGCAGACACAGTACAGGAGATGACCAGAGACTGCGGACAGCACAGGGATGACCAGAGACTGTGGACAGCACAGGGATGACCAGAGACTGCGGACAGCACAGGGATGACCAGAGACTGCGGACAGCACAGGGATGACCAGAGACTGCGGACAGCACAGGGATGACCAGAGACTGCGGACAGCACAGGGATGACCAGAGACTGCGGACAGCACAGGGATGACCAGAGACTGCGGACAGCACAGGGATGACCAGAGACTGCGGACAGCACACGGATGACCAGAGACTGCGGACAGTACAGATGACTGCTGACCTTTGGGGAGGTGGGGAGCGGGTACCTGAATTTGACAGGTACCCGCTCTTACTTCCGCAGAGTTTTTGTTTGATCTTACCTGTTCCTCGATCCAGCCGCGCGCTGTCTTCCCGGCTTCTGTAATGGCGCTCGGCATGACAGCCGGGTGCCCAGTGCGCATGAGCGAGAAGCACTTGCGCTTTGTGATTGGTCCGGCGGCTTCTGGGATCTGTCATGTGTCCCAGGTACCGCCTTACAATTCACAAAAAGCACCGCTTCTTGCGCATGCGCACTTGGCACCCGGCTGTCATGCCCAGTGCCCACACTACAGAAGCCGAGAAGACAGCACGCCGCTGGATAGAGGAACAGGTAAGGTCCCGCTGCAGAGCTGAGCGGCCGGCCCGCCCGGTATTCTGACACGGCCGCGGTGGAAATACCGGACCGGCCGCTCCATATTCGCCCCATAAGACGCACTGACATTTCTCCCCCAGTTTTGGGGAAGAAAAAGTGCGTCTGATACGGCGAAAAATACGGTATGTCTCTTAAGATTTCTGATGTCATCAGTCTGCCAAGGTTGTAATGGTCAGGCCTGATGCTTTGTGTGGTTAGAAGAGCAAATGAGTCTAATGTGGATGAAAGTGAATTGTTGTAGACAGCAGAGGTCAGGGCAGGAGAGATTCTGTCAGAGAGGTGATCAGTTGCAGAGTAGAAAAGAGAAGGGTTAAAGTTGTGAAGGTTTCTGCGGGTAATTGTTTGCTGCTTGGAGGGATAAGTGTTTGAAGAAGAAGAGACTATGAAGGTGATAGATTTAACCAATAAGTACAGTTGTCTATGCTCGATCATTATATAATCTAGTTGTGAATACAATCTATGTGCTAGAGAGAAGGTATAATCTCTTTCTCTGGGATGTTTCACCCTCCATATATCTATTAATTGACTTTGATGCAACATCTTTTTCAACATTCTTCATTTTTTACCACCTCTTCTCTGTGCATTCGAAGACGTATCCATCCAAGGATCTAAACAAAAATTAAAATCTCCTGCCACGATCAGACTACCCCTCTTAAAACGACCTTCTGGGTCCACCAATTTTCCCTCCACATCAAAACCCACATTTTTTGAGAACCCAATCGCTTCTCTCCTTAGCCCTTTTTATTGGTGAGTCTGCATAATATCAGGTTGGATAGTGCCTCCAGTATAACTTAACATTAGTTTCATATGATAAGTGTGTCTTTTGTAAGAACACTACATCTATGGCATATTGGGGAACCTCCCAAAGTAACTTATGTCTTTTAGTCAGAGAAGTTAACCCTTTCATGTTACGTCATAAGATTAATCAGGCTCATAACTATTTAATATTTCTCTTCTCCTCTGCATTTCTGTTCAAAGGAAAAGGCATATAGACTACTCAAATCATGGACCTTCTCCCCTCTCTTTATTTTATCTCGCAAATCCTCCCCTTGGGAGTCATCTGGTAGGCCGCGAATACTTAAATTATTTCTTCTCTCTCTATTCTTTTAATCTTCCAATTTGAAGGAGATCTTTCTCTGTTCTGTTTGCATTTCTTCTACCTGCATTTCTAATTTAGTAATTACTTGTGCATATATCTACATCTTCCCTTCTACTTCTTCCACTCATGTCAACATTTGACCCAAATCATTTTGAATTGCCACCATTTCATTTTTCATGGACATCCCGAGTTTTCCAAACATTTCCGCCATTTCAGATTTTGTAGGTATTTGTAACATAGCTCCCTGTTGTTCCATACCACTTTATTCTGTTAAACTATCCACATTTATCGATTCATTAGTCTGTTTCACTTCTCATGCCCCAAATGACAATCTAGATTGGTCTTCAGCACTTTTTCTAGTTCTCTCTTGTTGTTTATCAGCGGTTAATTTATCCGCACTCTTCTCCTGCAGGGGCAGATAATTCTTTATTGTACTAATGTCTGTATTTGATTGGGAGGGGGGGTCTTGCCCCCCCTTTAGCTGATCTACTCTTCATCTCTTTCGGCATTGCCACAGGGTTGTCTATTGAGATACGGATGCTATGTTATCGTACCCAAGATAATTTCCTCTTTCCTTTCCTTTCCTTTTGGTGGCCTTTATGATCCCTACTGTGATACTATGGGAGCAGAAGTGATATGAACTGTTCCGCCAGCCACTGAGTACCCCGTCAGTACAATCCTCCATTCCCCCACTACTTAGGTATGCTTTAAATTACAACACAAGCATCATAAACAACAGAAATTTAAATGTCCTGCCATTGGTCATGGCAACTCACCACTGCCCTCCAGCAGATTTGACTCGCTCTTTCCCAGTTCAATCATTTTAGTCACGGCTGTGGCCTCTGAACTAAATTTCTTGTGGTGTTATTGGGGGATGTCTCAGCTTCCAGTGACCTGGGGTATCTCACGGTCACCTGCAAACACTGTCCCAATACAGGGGGATGGATGCCTACAGTGCCCTGCCTCCTCTTCATCTGCAGAGCTTCACTGCTCTCCCAGACCTTTGGGACTTCCTGTCGCCATCCCCATCACAAAGGTTGTCACATGGGCCGTCACCTGGGCTCTCGGACCATCCCCCTCTCCTCTGATAATGCTGCCTTCTGCTCTCTCCTGCTCCTGTCTTTCAGGATCCTGACTCTCCGGCACACCTCACCAACCACCGTCGACCCCCCACCTGCCTCCAGGTTCCACACCAGCAGGAGCTCCCAGCTCTACCGGTTACCACGAGGGCTATCTGGCCACCAAAGCTCCATGGCCATCCACGGCAAGTCAAGGCTTCTGGTACGTTTTCTAGGCAGATCAGGAACACTTTATGACTGCATTGCGGGCGTCTGGAGCTCCTGCTGCTCACGGCACCATGTTAGGCCCCTCCCCCCTTCTCTGCTTTAGGCTGCTGAAGTCTTTTTGAGGACTAAATTCAGAGGAGACACATAAAGGTCTAAACATGTGGGGGATCAGAAAAGGGCCTGCCATCCTTCCTAAGAATACTTCTCTATATAAGTTTCCCCAATTGTGCTCTGGGAAGGCCAAGATCAAATGTAAATCAAAATGAATTATGATAATGAATTATGATAAAAATAATACAAAAGGTCTGTCATGATAGTCATTTATCCAAGTCTGTATTGTAAATTCACAGGTGTCTATCTTCTTTTTGCAACTTTTGCAACTTGCTCACTAGAATACTGTCTGTTGTTGACCCTTTGAGGTTTGAATCATTTAGACAGGGGTGGTTACTCCCCCAACATTCAAAGCATTTGTGCCAAAATCAAATTCAGTCCCCCTCCACACACACACACAACTTTCATGTGCTGTCATTGTAAAGCCAGCACACATCTATCTTGATGTGGAACTTCTAACGCATGACTAAAAACAAGACATGAATGATGAAAGTAACCCTGATGCAGCATATGCTGTCACCTTAGCTGAATATATTAGTTTTACTAAACCCACAAGTAATAACAGTCTGTATATGCTGTAAAGCATGCTTGTTATATTCACTGTGGAACCTAAGGGGTTAATCCTCTACATTATGTAAAAAGTCTGTTTGATCTTGTCTTCTCTGATCCTTGCCTTCTTCTACAGTTCCCAATCCATCTGCTGATAGTAGGGAACCCTAGGAGACACCCAGATCTGCACATGTTTTTAGTTTGGTGTGTATTGCTAGAGAGATCAAAGGTCTTACAGGAGGCTAAGACCTTTGACTGTGAGTTAGCAACCATTCATGGGGAAAACGTCTAATAAGTGGTGAATGAGACCAAGTAAGAGCATTTTTTGACAGGGCCACTGTTGGGAAACACGGAAATTATGCAGCCTTATAAGACAGTAAGATGGGAATGAAAACTCCTCCTACAAGATTAATTAGTGCTCAGCTGGACACTGATAGAAGACACAAGACTGCTATATACTGCTGATGAGAAAAGGTATTTAGCAGTTTATATTTACTAAAATAATTGCATTTCCACATTCTGTGTATTGTGGGAGACCAGATATAGTGAATTCAGGCTCCTGGGTTTTCGTAACACTTTAGGCGTATCCACAATGTTATGTCTTTATGATTTCGCTAAGGCTAACAGCCTTTTCTAAAACTGTTCATCATATCTGAGAAATCCCATCTCACTGTAGATTTAGAATGCCTCCAAAATCAGATCTACAGTAGCTAATAAAATGCCATACTAGTAGCAAATGCACTGATGTCTCTCCAACTATGCTACCCAAAATGGCACAGACTTAAAGCCAGTTATTGAATGTTCAAGAAATAAACCTATACCTCCACTAACCCTTTTTGCTACATCTCAATTGCAAAACTCTCTAGTGACAAAATAATAAAGATGTTTGCTTACTTTAATATTCACACTTTTTTCTTAACTTACAGTTTTACAAAGGTCTTCAAACATATGAACATACTACTCTTTGGGTTGGAAAAGGCATATACACAGACTTGGAAATATTTTCTACCTTTCCACCATTAATACCTACATTAGTAGCCATTGGACCTCTGATGGTAGATACAGAAGAAAAATCAGGCCTGGTCACTGAAGTAGCCGATAGGTAGTACTAAGGTTAAATCAAGCCATAGCAGTACCCACTGATCTGTATCCCAATAACTGTCCCCCAGAAACATAAGCAGCTTGCACAGCCTGACACAACCACACCATTGGTAATATCATTGGAGATAACCAGCAACAGAGACAATGATCCTGCATTTATTGGCATGGGTGAAGATTCCCTCTCAATGACCCTAAATGGGTAGGTTTTAACCTTTAAGGAAATTACTGAAGGTGCAGAAGTGAGACTCTTTTGATTTGTGTGATGAATACTGTATGCCTAGGACATCCCTACTGGTGACTAGCCACAGTAGCGGTTGTAGTAAAAAAGAGGAGACTCCCCTGGCCCAGCTTACATCCTGGTCAGCTGTACCAATGTGTCTGTCCTAAGCACCCCCCCCCCCTCACATACACACACACTTCCAGAGAGATCCACCTTCAACCACCAGCCTAGCATCAGAAGGGCTGTCACTAACTTCCATGGTACAACCTCTCATCAATCTACTGCCATCAGTGGTCTTCCTGCAACTCACCACTGCAATTGCCCTGTTCTCTTTCCCCAGAATTGTACTTCAGGACACTGATACATTCCACAAGAATTGGCGATAGGTGATTCACAAGCAGCAGACAATCTGGAATTACATAGTTGCTGTTCTGCTCCTTAGCCAGTATATAGCACTCCAGAACAAGCCTCAGATCTGTGGTCACAGGTATTACCTGTGGTTCAAAGAGGGATACTCCAGGACCTGACTCCACCCCATGTTTCACTTACTGCCAGATGGTCACCTTAGCCACAAACATTGCACAGTGAGTTCCAGAAGGAGAG